AAAAAAAAAAAAAAAAAAAAAAAAAAAAAAAGAAGTTAGGGTAGGGATGAGGGTAGGTGGCAACAGAGAGGAGAGGGAGAGGCTTCTGGGACAGTTGTGATTTTTTATTGTTAATGGTTTCTTTTTAATTTGGTCTTGAGGCCTCTGTGTCAAAAGTGGCCATAAACTGAGAGAAAGAAACAAAAGGTACTTAAAACATCCAAATGAAAATCTATAAAATGTCAGGAGTAAGACAATACCTCTCATCTACAGCCATAAATGTAAATGGATTAAATTCCCCACTCAAAAGACACAGACTGGGGCCAGCCCGGTGGCGCACTGGAGAGTGCGCCGCTTGGGAGCGCGGCGGCGCTCCTGCCAAGGGTTCGAATCCCATGTGGAGACCGGTTCCCGCTCACTGGCTGAGCGCAGTGCGGGTGCAGCACCGAGGGTTGCGATCCCGTAACCGGTCAGTAAAAAAGACAAAAAGGAAAAAAAAAAAAGACACAGACTGATTGGATTAAAAAACTAGACCCAACTATACACTGTCTTCAAGAGACTCATCTCACCTGTAAAGACACACGCAGACTAATAGTGAAGAGATGGAAAAAGATATACCACACAAATGGACATCAAAAACAAGCTAGAGTAGCTATTCTTAGATAAAATAGACTTTGAACCAAAAACTATGAAAAGAGGCAAAGAAGGCCACTATATAATTAAGAGATCTATCCAGCAAGAAAACATAACAATTATAAATATATATGTACCCAACATCAGAACACCCAGGTATAGAAAGCAAACACTATTAGACCTAAGGAAAGAGATAGACCCAAATACAATAATAGTTGAGGACCTGACCACACCTCTCTCAGCATTGGACAGATCATCTAGGCAATAAAACAACAGAGAAACACAGGATTTAAACCACACTTTAGACCTATCAGACTTGGCAGATATCTACAGAAGATTTCATAACAACACCAGCATATACATTCTTCTCATAAGCACATGGAACATGCTCCAGGATAGACCACACATTAGGTCACAAATCATCTCTACAAATTTTTAAAAATTGAAATCATTTCAAGTATCTTTTCAGACCACAACAGATTAAAACTAGAAATCAATAACAAGCAAAACTCTGGAAACTATACAAACACATGGAAATTAAACAACATGCTCCTGAATGACATATGGGTCCAAGAAGAAATTAAACAGGAAATTTTAAAAATGTATCAAAACTAATGAAAATAAAGACACATCGTANAAAAAAAAAAAAAAAAAAAAAAAAAAAAAAAAAAAAAAAGAGGAAATAATACCAATTCTCCTCAAACTATTCCAGAAAATTGAAACAGACTCATTCTATGAGGCCAGCATCATCCTGATACCAAAACCAGACAAAGATACAACAAAGCAAGAAAACTATAGGCCAATATCTTTGATAAATATAGATGCAAAAATCCTCAATAAAATATAAGAAAATAGAATACAGCAACACATTAAAAAAAATTATACACCATGATCAACTGGGATTCATCCCATGGATGTAAGAATGGTTCAACATATTCAGGTCACATCAACAAAATCAAGGAGAAAAATCATATGATTATCTCAATAGATGCAGAAAAAGCATTTGACAAATTCAACATCCCTTCATGGTAAAGACTCTCAGCAAATTAGGTATAGAAGGAAAGTATCTNGGAAATTAAACAACATGCTCCTGAATGACATATGGGTCCAAGAAGAAATTAAACAGGAAATTTTAAAAATGTATCAAAACTAATGAAAATAAAGACACATCATACCAAAACCTGTGGAGCACTGCAAAAGCAATACTAAGAGGGAATTTTATTGCAATAAACACATCAGAAGAATAGAGAGATTTCAAACAACGCAATGCCACACCTCAAAGAACTTGAAACATAAGAACAATCCAATCCTAAAATTAGTAGACAGAAATAACTAAGATCTGAGCAGAAATAGATGAAATAGAAACTCAAAAAAACTATACAAAGGATAAATGAAACAAAAAATTGGTTTTTTGAGAAGATAAACAAAATAGACAAACTGTTAGCTAGGCTAACTAAAAAAAGAAGAGAGAGAATGCCCAAATAACAAAAACTGCAGAGGATGAAAAAGGAGATGTTATAACTGATACCTCAGAAATACAAAGAATCATTTAAAACTATTATAAAACCTATACACCAACAAATTTAAAAACCTGGAGGGAATGGATCAATTTCTGGACATATGCAAATTACCAAGACTGAACCAAGAAGATGTAGAAAGCCTGAACAGACGAATAACAGAAATGAGATTGAAGCAGTAATCAGCAGTCTCCCGACAACGAGAAGCCCAGGACTGGATGGCTTTACTGAAGAACGCTACAAAACATTTAAAGAGGAAATAATACCGGCCGGCCCGGTGGCGCACTGGATAG